ACGGGATGTAGTTGGACCAGATATTTCTGCTTTATACGACAAAGGTAAAGAAAAGGTAAATAAACTCGGAAATTGGGTCGATGATAAAACTTCTGGAATCAGAGATGGAATCAAAAATTCACCAATTGGACGAGTTGGACAACTGTACGACCAAGGAAAAGAAGCGTTAAAAGATGGGAAGAAATGGGTGGATAACACGATATATAACACTTTGGATAAAGCGACAACTGCAATGACTGGAAACTCAAAGACTGGTGGAAGAATGACTAAAGAGGAGTGGAAACAAGGTAAAAAGATAGGAAAACAAGGTGGAAAGTTGTGGAAATGGTATAAAAAGAACGGTAAAGAAAAAGATAAAAAAGACTTGAAAGGCTCTAAAGATCAGAAAAATAAAAGTAATGCTGTACAACCTAAACAACAGAAACAAACTAAACCAAATAATCAGAGGAAGAAGGACGACAAGAAAAATAACAACAAAAAACAGCTGATTTCTAAAAATAGAAAGTTGACAAATCGTAAAAATAGAACACCAAGAAATACGAAAAAAATGACCAACAGAAATAATAACTTGATGGGTAAAAGGGGAAAACAATTGCAAAATAGAAAACAACACAGAAAAGAAATTACTTTGAAAAACAAAGCGAAAAACTTACCAAAAGCAAAGAAAATAAATTTCAGCAAATTAAGAAGAAGATTAAATTCAAACAAGAAAAGAACGCCAAAACCAATCCAACACAAAATGAATAAAACCAGACTTCCAAAACCAAATACTAAAAACAACAAATTTGCCCAAAATACAATCAACTCGAAGAAAAACAACAAAAGAAATTAAATCAATTTTTATTGATTAATACATGTTATGATTATTTATTACGCTCCAAATAACAAAAAAAATAAATAATATATTATTTCATGATCGACAAAATAAGTTAACATGATTATGAACAACAAAAATTAAATGAAAATATTTAGAATAATAAAAATGGATATTTGTGGGTTTAAAATGGGGTTGCAGAGAATGTTCTATTTATCGTTTTTATTCGGTTATATTTTTGCTTTCTTCACATTATAATTGTAAAAATTATCCAATTGACCAAATAATTGTCAGAAAATGTAATTTTTATAAATTACATTAAAAATTAAATGAAACATATATATAAAATTATCAAATAAAACAAAGAGATTCAAATTTATTTTAATAATTGTATTTAGGTTAAAGTTTGTTAAATATATATTTTACTTTTTACATTTATTTAGTCTTATGACTGTTCGGCTACTTTTGAAATTACTCAATAGTCGGCGACTTATTCAGTTTTTTTAAAGTAGCCTATATCTTGAACAAAGTAAATAATAACTTAAATAAATTATACCATATTCATTATAGTCTCAAAAATGTGTAAAAACACAACAATTGTTATAATTTGTAATATTATTTTCAAATAAATATCATTTTAAAAATGATTTGAGAAGATATAATTGAGAAGGTATTTTTTCATTTCATTTTTTAATAATAATTATATTGATAATAATTATATTAAATAAATATAGTTGAAATTTATTTAATTGTTTTAACATTAAAATGGTATGATGAATAGTATTTCGACTAATTATTTAGGTCAAGGAATTTTAAGACAACTAAAAATTTGGATATTTTCAAAGAAACCATAAAGTCTCCGAACAACTATTCGACTTTTTTAAGTCACTTGTATTGGTAAAAATTATATAATAAAAACTATTATTTAAAAAATAATATTTTTTAATGATAAAATGAATAAATAACGAAAAAAAAAATTTAAAATATATAACTTGATGAATAAAATAATTTTATTATTTATTAGAAATTGTTATTATTAAATAAGAAAAATGTTTTTATAAATATTCAAAAGATGAATATAATTTTGTATAATTATAATCAAAAAGAACTTGTTAATTATTCAAATGAAAGAAAATGGCGTATATAATTATTTCAGAAATTACAATTCAGACATTGACCACAGTATAGTAAAACTTAAAGCAACTATGGAAACACACGTTTCATCACCTAAACTAGTTTTACCAAATTCTATTGATGGTTTAAACCTTGACAAATCCATTGAAAAAATTACTGCGAGTCTTGACATCGAAAAAATTAATGAAACAAAGTGCATTAACTTGTTAAAAGAAATAACAAATTGCTTATCAAAACTATTAGATTTGATCAATTTGCTAGAAATGATGAAAACCCAATGCGAACAAGATGGTGTTGATATTGTTACATTTAGAGACAATACTCTCAACCTTCTTTTACAAGCAGAAAAAGTCCGTTGTGACAACGAGCTTGAGAGAAACACATTCCGTAAGACTGAAATACAAAACGACTTTGCACAACGAGAGTTTGCAATTAGAGAGCTGATGCGACCTTCTGTGTTATTCAACCCACAGCCGTTGTTTAAAGAAGAGTCTACAAACAACACTTCTGAAAATACAACACAGCAAATCGTAGTTACTCAGTCACCAAAAGAAGATAGTAAAAATACTATTAATAATAGTAAAAATACTATTACTGATAGTAACGTGATTGACTTAAACATCAGTTCGTCTGAAGTAGAAGAACAAATATTGGAATATCACAGCAATGAATCTAACAAAGAACCCCCTTGCAAATATCACGTAAAAACAAATGTCAACGACAAAATTGAAAGCGAAAATTGTGAAGTCCTTTTAAATAAAAAAGAAAAGGAACAAATACACAAATGGAGTGGGAGGAGTGTTGGTGATCTAATTTTCACTTATAAAAATAATTTAAAAAGTTGTAGTGTTAAACTTCGAGAGTGTTTTCATGAAGGGAATGGGTTTGTCATTGCACTGCTCTATGAACAGAATGTGTTTGGTGTTGTTGTGACTAAAAAAGTTGATAAAACGACGGACTATGCATTTGATGAAGACTGTTTTATATTCCAAATGAGAGATAATGGAGACAACAATTACAAAATGTATAAAATTAAAGCAGAAAATTTCGATTGGGCATTTTCAGTTGGTGTAAAATGCAGCACCAAGTTTTTTGATGTTGGGTGTGGAGATATTAATGTCGTTTACAACAATACAAACAAAAAAGTCGTTTGCAAGTGCGCACAATCATCATTTGATTACAAAAATTGCACTCAAACGATTTGTGGCGTGGATGGGTCTGTAATCTTTAATATACAGAAATTTGTTGTGTACAGATTAAATGATTTGGATTGAATATATTTTTGGATGATATATAAAAAAGGTTTTATATTTTCAAAAGTCGAACAAATTAACTACTTTTTTAATTGTATTAACGATAGAACGATAATTAGAAATATAATACACTGATGTGGGTATTTTCATGATAAAAATAGAATGAGCAAAATGGTTTACTAATTTTTTTTATTTATTTTAAAAAATAAATTGAATTTATAAATAACAATAAAGTCGGTGGAAAACCATATTTATTCATTTAATTTGAAATAAGGAAATTCAAAAATTTCAAGAATTATTACTATATATATAATGTTGGAAAATATTAACAAATAAGTTTGGAATAGTTTAACATAATATTATAATTATGACAAATTAATTTCATTGTTTTAAAAACGACAAATAAGTGTTTTGACTAAACAGTGTTATAAAACAAAGTTATAAACCAATAAATCAGAGATATAAAAAGAAGTTAAAAAATTATGTAAACCTTTACAAAAAAAACAAAAAATCAAAGCAAAATGTTTTAAAATTTAAAACAAGAAAGCAATGAAAAGAGCGAGGAACGCAAAGACCTCAAATGCACCTTCAGAAAACATGTAGTTCATGTTATTTACACTTGTGCATTTTTCGAGTTCATAGGTCACGGAGGTATATGCGGTATAAACATCTCCAGTGCAATCTTCTGAATTATAAGGAGTTAATGTAATCATTTTGTCTTTAATTTCAGCCTTTATAGAATAAGTAGATACTAATGTAATTTTGGTACATTGTGGATATAAGTTTTCGAGAGGATGAGCATCACTTTCACCGAATTCACAATTATCGGCATCGTTATAAAAATATTGAACAAAGTAATAGTCTGGCAAGTCACTTTTAATTTCAATATCACCAGACGAGGCACTGGCTTGTTCGACCCAATTGCCACATTTATTAGACACGTATCCTTTAACCTTGTCACCATTTTCTTCAAACTTAACGTAATTGTTTAACATCATATAGTAGCATTGATCAAATTTGTAGACTGCAGTAGATCCATCAAGGTTAGAAACAACAGCGTATTTTGCTGTAGCCAAAGTTACAAGAAGAAGAGCAAACATATATATTTTCCAAGTTAAAACGCGTTTTTATATAATCAGGTTTTTAAAATAAAGTTCGGTTACCAAAACACGGTTAGTGATTATAATAACAAGTTATTTGCAAAGAGGGATAAAATTCCACGGCAATATTTTTTAAAAAAATATTTTTATTATAGTTTTTTTTAAAATGTGTAATTGAAATTTTTCATAATATTATAGTCATCAAATTTATCTTGATATAAATAATCTGAATTTTCAGACTGTTTAATGTGTGTCGGTCGAAACAAAAAATCCTTTTTTTAATTAAATCAAAATACACTTTTCGGTTTTTGTAATTTGAAAACAACAAACATATGTTAAAAATGTGCAAATAATATATTTCATGTTATTGATATTTTGTTAACATCATAGTTAGATGTTAACTAAATTGAATTTTTGAAATAATAAAATGGTTATTTATCATTCTATTTTATATAAATATTTTTACTATATTATTATGATATTTTAATTTATCATAAATATCAAATAATATTGAAAATATGTTTTTGTTTTATAATAGCTAACTATAAATTACAAAAATTACAGATTGATAAAACAAGCCAGCAAATAATAAATTTATACTCAATCATAGTTTTAAGGTTTTGTAAAGAAAACACTGAGTGATAGGAATTAATTTGGTAAAAATTTAACTATTTTATAACAGCAATCACAATAAATCTATTTTTGTTGATAATCATGTTTTTTTTACTTAGAAAATAAATATAGTTAGGCAAATAATTAATCTAAAAAATGTCTTATTAATTTGTTATTTTTTTAATTTTTAAAATTTGAATCAATAAAAATGTAAATTATTTGTTATTTTTTAAACTTATTCATTTAAACTAAATGGTTTAATATTAATAAAATAAAGTATGACGATTTTATGTTATTCGAATATATATTGAGACAATAAAAATTAGAATATATAATAAGAACACAAAAAATACAAAAAACAAAACCCGTTTTAAATTATAATGTTTATTTAAAATTTTTAATTTGTACATGTTAAATACATAACTTTATAATCAATCACTTAATCATATTTTCAAGCTTTTCTCTAATGGTTTCAATATTAGTTCTTTCTTCTTTGTCATGAGCCCAACATTTTGTTATTAATTCATATTGTTCATCATTAAGTAATTCGGATTTATTAAGACGATTTCCACCAGTTACAAAGTCTGCGATTTTCCATGGGTACTTGAATTCTATTTTGTCATAAGCATCTTTCCACCTGAAACACTCATACATAGTCATTGCAAAAGAATAAATATCAGCACTCTTCTTGTACTTCTCCTGTTTTAAAATTTCAGGCGCCATGTAAATTGGTGTGCCAATTCCCTTCGTGAATGTCATATTAGTTTGCAACATATTGACATTTCTTGATGACCCAAAGTCAGTCAATTTAGCATTTATTTTTTCATTTACATCAAGTGATAACACAAGGAAGTTGTCTGGTTTGATGTCTCTGTGTAAAATTCCATTCTCGTGTAAATATTGAATACCAATCGATGCGTCTAGTAACAATTTGGTTCGCAACTTCATATCAATTTCATCACTCTTTTTGTGTTTCATCAAGTCTTGTAAACTTCCAAATCCTGCAAATTCGGTGACCATACAGACCTTGTTGGGTATAAATACAGCACCATAGAAGTGGATGATGTAATCACATCGGAACTTGTCTAGCATGGCAACTTCTTTTTCAAATTCTAAAAGACCATTTTCATTGTTATCAAGTTGTTTCATCTTTTTTATAGCAACACAAACTCCTCTGTATTGCCCTTTGTAGACAATTCCAAAACTGCCTTCGCCAAGCTTCTCGTCTTCTATGATTTCTCTGTAATTCAATTTGGTTGTTTGTTCTGTTTCGATTTCGATTTCAACTTTAGCGTTTTCAATGACACCAGTTGTTATATTTAACGACGTGATTGCCACATGTTCTTTAGTAACACAAGTACACAGCGGCTTGATGAAAATCTCAAACTCACAAGCATATCCAGGCTTCAATGTCACAAGTGGTGGCACACTTCGTATTTCATAATAGTCACACCCTTCCATCACACTGAATTGAACTTTCAAGTTACTTTTAGACACATTCCCAATACATATCAAATCTCTTGTCTCAATGTCAATTTTTAGTAATTCGTTGTCGTCTAAATCAAATTTCAGTGTTGTCTTGTTTGTTACTAAATTCGCACTCAAATTCATCATCTCAATATTGGACCGACTCATCTTAAAGTTGCAAATGTTCTGCTCTTTTTTCTTCTGTTTTCTCTTTTGTATCATCGATATGATTACCATTATAATAGCAACAATAAACACTATGATCACAAAAGTGACTGTCATTGGCGCACCAACAACCAACCCATAATTTGTCTCTTTGACGCAATAATCACCAGCATCACTTGGTTCGTGAAATCCTTCACATTCTGTGCACTTTGAATTGTTTGCAGACAAACAAAACTCGACACTTTTGTAATCCACACACTGCGAGTCAACCAACACATAATCGTTTTCTACACAGCTTTTACAATTTTGATAGTTGTCACATGAGATGCAGTTATCAGAACGGGTTTTGCAGATGTAATTATCCACGTAATATCCATTTTCACACCACAGACACCCAATCAGTGTTTTTGTTTCACAATTAGTCAAATTGTCATATGATACCCATAATTTACTTTTACTTCCTGGAAGTTTGAAATATTCAGTTTGACAACTCAAACAAGTAGTACTATCAACACAAGTACCACATGACTCATCACAAGAAATACAATCAGCTTCTTGTTTGAAGTACTGGTCTTTGCAAATAGCACATCCACCACCCGTCGGCAGTGTCAATGCACATTTTGTGAATAAATCGCCGAGTGGTTCACATGTAAAGGTTGATGACAAGTAATACTGTGGATCGCACGATAAACAATAAGTTGTGTTGTAACAATTATCACAGTGATTCGAACACATTTTACATTCACTATTGTTGTAATGATAACCAGAATTGCATCTTTCACACCCTTTGTTATTACGACTGAAACATGAAACTTCAACACCTTTTATTTCTTGTTTTGTGTTGGTTAAATTGTTTTCATCGTTTTCGTCATCAATGAAATTTTCTGAACATTTTCCATTCTTTAGTTTGAAAGAATCCAAACATTCAACACATATTGATTGTAAAATCAGTGAGTATTTACAGTGGTCTATTTGAGTGGTAGTAATTGGAATACAAAAATTGTATTTTCCTTCATTGTTAAGCGAGTCAATCAAGTAAAACCCCTCGGCACACTGTGAACAAACAAAACCATAAGCTTTGACACAACCAACTTCACTTTGTTCAACGCAAAACCCATTTGTTTGGATTACATAATTTTTGTTACATTTCTTGCACTTTCCACCTTCACAGTTATTACAATTTGGAACAGAACACACCGAGCATTTGCCATATTTAAGTTCCATGTTTACATCAACACATTTCGAACAATAATTTTTGCCGTATTTTAAACAATTGTTTTCATTTGTGCAATTCATGGTTTCAACGTTATAAATTGAATTATTGGCACATGACAGTACTAAACTTTTTGATTTGTAATTCATACAAATCGACGAGTTGTTTTTACACGTTACACATTGATTGTTTTCATTCAAATATTTACCTTTTTCGCATGCAAAAATGACATTATTTCGAGTCAATACATTTGAAACAGAATTGCAAGTCTTTTCATTAACAATGTTATTATCTTCGCATTGAATGCATTCTTTTTGATTTATGAAGTTTCTTTGATATATACATTTTGATGGAGTGCTTTGGCAGTCCGATCCAACTGATATTTGATCTGAACACTCACATGATACTTTCGAAAGTGTTGATTTGTCCACACATTTGGTTGCCGATACACATTTGTTATTTGACAGATAATATCCATCTGAACAACTTAAACACTGTTCTTGAATCGAAACAGTCAAACAGCCACCCCCATTATTTTCGCACTTCTTTGTTGTGGCGTTGTAAAATGCGTTTGTTCCACAAGAATCACAAACACTGGTTTGAGTATTAATTTGATAAGGTGAATAACACGTGATACAAACAGGAATTCCAACCGTTTTAGTTGAGCACGCTTGACAATTTGGGATGCCAATGTAACACTTCTCGCATGATGTTTCAGTTTTTTTATAAGTTCCAGAAGCACAACTCAGACTAGTTTGGTTTGACAAATAATACGGGTCTTGACACGACAAGCACTTGTTTTCTCTTGAATTACATGATTTACAGTTTGTGATAGTTGTGTTACAAAATACACAGACCCCACTTTGATTTGGATAGTATCCACTCTCACACTCAACACATTTTCTGTTGTAATCAGATGAACATATCTTGCAATTTTGATCAAACGATTTGCAAGCATCACACACACGACTCTTAGTTGCTTCAAACACATAATTGTTGATACACCCAGTGCACTTGCCTGTTGTTTGATCGCAGTTACCATTGCATGTAGCATCACATGAGACACACGTGTATGTTGAGTCGCTTGGATACATTCCGCTTGGTCGACACACACTGCATTTTCTCTGATATGTCGAATCACACTTCAAACAATTTAAATCAAAAGATGAGCATGAATCACACACTAAATTATTTGTAGTTGAAAAAAAGAAAATTCAACGAACAACTGGTATATACACCTGTAGAACCATTGCACATTCCACCACATGACCAATCACAATAACCACACTTGTAGTTTTCGGATTCTTTTGGATATTTTCCACTTGAACACAATTCACATTTTCTTGCATTATCAACTGCACATTTTGAACAGCATGAATCAAATTCAGAAGACTTAATACAGACTTTTGATATTGGAGAAGTTATTGTGTAATTTAACAAACATCGTGAACAAAATTCCGTTGTCGAGTCACATGTATTTGGCTTGCAAGTTGAATCACAAGCAACACAATTCCCATTTAATAAATAAAACCCACTATTCTCTCGACATTTAACACATTTTCTTTCTCCATTTAATGCACACTCAACATAGTTTGCATCGAATATCAAACAATCAACACATTTATCACTTTCCGGATCACTAAAAACTTTACCAGAAACACAATGATGAATAAGATTTAAACTTAAACCCAACACGTATACAATTTATTGAGAAAGATTCTTTTTAAATTATTTACTATCAAAAAAGAAATATATAAAATACCATATGTAATGGTTATATTAACTATAATTTGTACTCATTAAAAAGAGAAAAACGTTTTGGTTTCATTCACAAAATAAAATTAACATTTTAAATAATGTAAAATATAAGTTAAATATAATTTTATTTCGAATTAACTTTAAATAATTTATTGTTTAACCTTAGGAAGTCACTCGTTTTTGTTGAATTTTTTTTTGCTGGAAAGGGAAAACTGGATATTTTCTATCCAGATCTTTTTGTAAACAAAAAAAACAAAATGTATAACAATAAATTCAAGCATTCATTTTGAACCATTCACCACATCAAACGCGATTGCAATCACTACATGATTTGCGTTGCGAATGTCGCAACAAGTAGTTGTTTTTTTGTTTGCAGTCGTGACAATATTCAGATTTTTCCTCTAATGGTTTTGATGTACTTGTTTTCTAGACGTTTCATGGTAATGTCAAAACCCATATATTTTATTAATTATGTTTGCTCTGTTTGGGAAAGTCTTGTTTGTATCAAAATGTTTAAAATGTAAAACGATGGTAATTGAAAACAAAGGATATGTATAAAAGTCATCCAAATTTGTTGATCTCATCCTGGTAATTTTCTACATAACCTTTGTCCTTTGAAACATTGTCACTATCAAAACCATCTGACTCCTCGGTTTCTTATTTTTCCATTTTGTTTTTTGTTTTTTTTATTTTTTGTTTTTTATTCATAAAAAAAGTGATTTAATTATAAATATCCAATCTTGATATAAAATATCGAGATTTCTCTTCCTAAGGTTAATATTATATGACACGTGTTTACAAGCAATGTTTATTTATTAAATTAAAATTAAATACAGTCTGAGTTTGTTTAAAAATAATGTTTTTTCGACTGAATTAGTCATTTTTTATAATATTAGTTAGATTTTTTGTTAAAAGGATGTTTTTTAATAAAATAGATTGATTATAATAAATTAGATATAATTTTTGCCAATTAGGAATAATTACCATAATGAGGTAATATTTTTGTTAAATTAGATTTTATTATTATTATTCGAGGTATTATTATAATAAAAATAGGTTGAATTACCAAAACATTAGGTATATTTACGGTAAATAGGTACATTTTTCGAACTTTAGATTTATTTACAAAAATTTTAGGCACAATTTATTTGAGATATTATACATTTATTTTCAATTTAGTCATTATTTAAATTTGTCAGTATAAATTATATAATTATTTCGACAAATTTTAATACATTAAAATCTCTCATTAGTTTATTACCCATAAAGAGAATCCCTTCATTAAGAGAAGTTTCAAATAATCAATTATAAAAACACTTATTATGGGAAAATAATTTCATAACCACTATTGAGGGGTTCTATTTTTTCATTTAATCTATTAATGAGAGGTTTTACTGTAAACATTTTTTTTACAATTTCAAACTTGTTAATTTAATATTTTCCAATTTAATCGTTTAATTAAAACAAAAACAACATGTTTACTTTACAATACATCAATAGATGAGATCAAAGGAAAATTTGAATTACACTCAAAATGCACCAATATCAACAAGCAGTCAACCAGTAATATCGATTCGATAACATCATCAAAGCATACCACCCATTGAAAAAATGAAAAAGATTCCAAAAAAACAACTTTGCAAATTATACAACACCATTAAAAGCGCGAATACACACGTTTTACAAACGCAAAAAAAGAATCGTTTGTTTAAAGAATGGAAAACTCATGGTGATGATTGGTCATTAAATTAACACTTTTTTATAATTTAAATAATGACTAAATTGAAAATAAATGTATAATATCTCAAATAAATTGTGCCTAAAATTTTTGTAAATAAATCTAAAGTTCGAAAAATGTACCTATTTACCGTAAATATACCTAATGTTTTGGTAATTCAACCTATTTTTATTATAATAATACCTCGAATAATAATAATAAAATCTAATTTAACAAAAATATTACCTCATTATGGTAATTATTCCTAATTGGCAAAAATTATATCTAATTTATTATAATCAATCTATTTTATTAAAAAACATCCTTTTAACAAAAAATCTAACTAATATTATAAAAAATGACTAATTCAGTCGAAAAAACATTATTTTTAAACAAACTCAGACTGTAAAATCATTAAAATTAGTTGTTGTATACTTATAAAACTAAACTTCTTTTAGTTTTTTTGGTTTACTTTCATTTTCTAATTTGTTTTTTACACATATTTGTATTTTTTGCGTCTATTTGACAACGATTCATCGAGGTTTTTTAAATGTTTTAGTTTTTTTTACCAGGACATATGATTATCATAAAATCTTTAATATCGTCTTCGATATAACCGTTTTTATTTATTTTAATTATCAATTTATTCAACCAATCCAACAACTTTTTTAAATATTGTTTTACTTTTCAATTTGTGTGTTAAATCAAACAGTTTTTCTTTACATCTTCTTCACAGAGTAAACCATTTTTGTTACAATTTTAATTTTGTGAACACTTTTTAGGACAATAAGATTTGTCTCAAAAAATCACATTTAGAAAACAGTGGTGAGCGACACAAGCCTTTCACAATCAATCTTCTATTACCTCTGATATCCTTAAAATATCCCGGTGGACACTTTGAAATATTAAATGCATCCCCACCTCTTTTTCGAAAATAAATCATATGATTACAAGGAATTCCAATTTCTTGATACATTCTACACATACAATTACTTCCATTGCCGGCTGGACATTTACTCATGCAAATAAAAGTATCAAAGTTGTCTAATAGTATATCAACGGCGTTAGAAGTCATATTTTTTAACATATTTATTAGGACAAGTAATTTGAGTGCTTTTAGCTGTTCTTCTGAAAACGTTGTTACTTTTAATTGTAGTTGTCGAGTATATAAAACAAAAGCCTTTACAACTTCCATTAAAGTTGCTGTTTTACGACTGATTGGTTCTTTGGCATGAGAAAACAATCCCTCTGCAAAATTTGAACTGGAATATAGTTGTTGGCACACTTGAGAAAATAAAAAGGTGTATTTGATATCAAATAGCGTTCTAAGTACTTTATATTCATTGGAGCGATTTTTGATGTTTTCCAAAGGAAAAATGTCTGATGATAACACAAGAGTTAGGAAGTCCAAGTATTCTTCGTTATCATTTGGAGACATTTGATCTTTAATTTTAAAAGAATGGACATTTTTATTTGAGATTAATAAAGTAAGTTTTGCAAAAAGAGTGCTTCGGCTTTAACAATGTTCGTGTTTTCCCGGAACATTGAGTCAAACAACTGAATGATTTCATCTTCACAAGAAAAATGTTTTTCTAAATTCCTGTGAATGTGCAACCAACAATGTCTGATTTTTACGTGTTTTATATAATACTGCATAGAGAGCTAAAGATTGTGCTTCAGAGCGACCACATGAAAAACCAATCAATGAAAATCCTCTCTCGTCAAAACGACTTTTAAGTTCTTTCAGATTTTCCTCAAAAGTTTGTTTGAATGAATCTCTTAAAAACCCAAACGATAGCAATCTACCTGTGTTATTCTTTTTATAAATGACAGCAAAAAGTGGTTTAAAAAACTTATTTGTACAATGCGTATCATCGATTACCAGACAAGAATTATCATATTCGCATAATGATAACGTGTTAATACAGAAACATCTAACAAAACGCTCTTGTTAGTCTGTAAACAACACAGTTGAAAAGTCTGTAAGTGAGTCTAAGTAAACTTTAATTTGATTGGCTTGTTTGATTGTCTGGTTTTTGTAAGTTTTTTTTTCTTATGTCATAGATTGTTTGTGGAAGATAAGTCAAATCATGTTTCTTTCTTGATATTTGAAAACTCATATTATTTTTGCGTCTTTAAAAATTGTAAATCTTTTATCGTGTAAAATTAAGTCATGGAAACCCTTTGTTAACGATGTCTCATCGTGGTCAGTGTGCCATTTGTTAAAAAAATTCATTTCAAACAAAAAATATCAACAGAAGAACAATAACCAAATGACTTGCATTCATAAATTTGTTTGGGGGAATCGGAATGAGTATGTTTTGCTGGTATATCTGAAACGAAAACATTTCAGTGGAAATATAACAAAATTGTTTAATAATCTCAGTACATAAACATGTCAGTGTTGTTCCCAACATGTTGTAGAGACCAATGATTATCGTGTTGTGAACCGAATTAAGTCTATGCGTTGGACTTGGTTTTTTGTTTTAACACACATAAAATTGGAATATTTGTTGAATTATAGATGTCCAAAATTATTTTAGCCTTTAGATTATTCTTAGTAAGTAATGATAATATATTCCAAAGTTGAATAAAAGGCACATTTTTTGTTGTTCTAACTATTTGAAATGAACATCATTAAGTTGGTTGGAATTTATTAAATATTTTGGTTTCAAAATTAATAAGTATATAACAACTAATTTTAATGGTTTTATCTTATTTTAATTTAATAAATAAACATTGCTTATAAATAAGTGTTATAGAATATTAAACAATAAATTATTCAAAGTTAATTCGAAATAAAATTATATTTAACTTATATTTTACATTATTCAAAATGTTAATCTTTTCTTTGCGAATGAAACAAAAACGTTTTTCTCTTTTTAATGAGTACAAATTATAGTTAATATAACCATTACATATGGTGTTTTATATCTTTCTTTTTTGATAGTAAATAATTTCAAAAATTATCTCAATAAACTGTATACAGATGAAGGATAAAGTCTGTGACAAAACATAAATAATCCGTTTTTCTGGGGAAGTATATAGTTCAATAGTTGTATTACTCTATTTATCCGGGTTTTTGATCCCCAATAAATGGATAATA